AATAATCAGCCTATGATAGTAATGTAGTACTTACGGTCGATGCCCTACTTCTGGAGGGGTAACGATGCCTCTTCAAATGCTCTACTACTCTGTGCCACTGCATCTCTCCCATACGGATTAAATCAGAGTAATTATACAAGGGAAACAAAATTCCACATATGTTACAATTAGATTTAAAAAAAAGATGTCCTTTTCAAAGCTCAGCATCACAGATCAGTTTTGATTATAAAGACACTTTGTTAGTTATGATGACTCCATATAGGCCAGAATCTGTTGCAATAATATGGAAGATGACAGCATAACCAAAAAAAAAAAGAAAATGAAGGTAGGCATTGTCTTTATTATTCCTTTACACTGTAATATCTTCTGCAGGATAAATCAAGTGGATTTTACGAGCTGTGTGTTACAGCACAGATTCTTTTTTCACAGCTCTCATACATATTTTTCTGCATTAAGCAAACAACTGCCAAATAAAGGCTAAACTGTGCTTTTGGAGTCAAGCCATCCCTCGAGCAGTTTTGCATGAATCTCATTGTGTTTATTGGTAGCCTCAGACAAACAAGCAGTAGCCCTGACTAATGACAACAAACGTAATAAAATAGCTATGCCTCATTGCTTCTGGAAAAGAGGACAGAGGTAGCATAACCACATTCCTGCACATTCTGACATTACACTGATGTTTCTGTCACTGCCAGACAGGACAGACATCCTTTCCCAAATTATTTCCTAAGGAAAGAGTCCCTGACCAACAGCAAGTAAATTAGGTATGACACAGGTTACCTGGATTTAATTCCTTGCCTTGATGAAGACTTCCCACATGATTCAGACAAATCATTTTTCTGTCTCTCTGTTCCCAGGCATCATGTATGGAAATAGTTACTTACTTCAGCGAGTATTAAGAAAATGCTCGTTGCATGTTACGAAAGACTATGGCAAGAAGAGTCAGACAGTCCAAGATCTTTCCCATGTGGGATGAGTCCAATTGTTTTGAGTAATGCTATATACAAGCACAATAACATTGTTATAATAAAAGATCCTGATTCATTATTGTAATTTTCTTCCCAGGAATACATGGAAAAGATTATACCTGAGTCATATTTCATAATATTTTTCTTTAGAGCCTGAGAAATCGCTGGGATGTTGAAATTCAAGTGCCAGCATTCCTTTCCCAAACCAGGACTGAATACCCAGGATTTAGTGCGGCAGCACCACCTGTCGGTAAGTTTGTCACCAAGTTATCTAAAAAGCAAATAGAAAATTATCAAAGCAGACCATGAAATGAAATGCTAAGATATAACCTGCAAACTATATCTTCAACTGTATCGTCTTACTGCCAAGACCCATATGTGAAACCAGGACCCACATCAAGGGGCACCCATATTATTAGTGCCACAGAACTATTCCTCCACACGAACCATTCTTTTACTATAGGCAACATTTTCTTGAGCCAGAATTTAACTTTTTTTTTACCCTTGGTAATTTTTCAGCAGCAAAGGCTGCTTAATTTGCACAGAAGCTTCAGATTAAAATCAGGGTGGTTCTTCAATGTGAGTATACGCAGAAAATAGTGCTCCTGGAAGAGGCAAAGCCATCGTAAGTGGCAAACAGTTTATCAAGCTGTCAGCAGTGTCAGTTCTGGCTGTGAAATCTGAAAGAGCAGCAAATGTAAGGTTAACGAGTGGTTATTACTTCAGGAAGGGTGGCATTCACATAACTGTGAAAACAGGGAAATCTCACAGCTCTTACTGATGAGATTGTTTTTCCAATGTGGAATAGTAGCTCAAATTACTAGAAGATTGTAAGGAAAATACACATCTCATCACCTTAAGCTCAGAAACAGGCTGTAGTGTGGAGATAAATATTTTCCTCGCTGCTATAGTTTTCTGTGGGGATGTTATGCAGGGATAATGGCACAACATAATAAAGGCAAATGACATGGAAAGGAAGCTGCCATCAACTACAGAGAGCTGAGCAACAACCTGGGAAAAAAACACCCAGACAATTTCACCAAATAAACTCAAAATTAAGAAAATCTGTTGTCAGTCTAATCTTGTGTAATGTCTTCACCTTTTAGTGTGCCAGCCTTTCTAGACCATGAACCCATCCTCAGGCAGGTGCCGTTGTGCTCAGACTACACCACATAGCTTACACGCGCCCATTGCTCAGAAGCATATCCGCTGCTATGTATTACTGCAGGGCACTGTTCTTGTTTAGGGCTTGATCTACGGTGCTGAAACCATCCTAAGGCAGACCTGGCCACCATGTCACTTGTTCTCCAGCCGAGCATCCACTCAGAACAGCTGTTCCAAAGCCTCTGTTGTCTTCTGCTGCCAGCGCAAGTTCAGCGTGCAATGCACCTGCGTCCCCCAGGACCTATTCTCCAACCATAAGAGTCTGAAGACAAGGATCTGCAGCTTCTCTTACACAAAAAACATTGATACCTTGTTTTAGACCTCTAATAACTGATTGCCTGCTCATATACTTTATGCAGTAACTCATTATTTTTATTACGAATTTAGGCTTAAACAGCTGGTCACATCACTATTTGCATCCTGCTTTGGAGAATTCCAAGTCCAGCCAGGCAGTTTAAATTACAGGTACCCTGGTTTTGCCAGTTCTACTTATAATCACTCATGCCTGACAACATGATCAGTGTCAGCAGTTTCAGCGCTTACTTTCTCACACTGGTTATATATGATCAATTGTACAGCTTTCCTCCTTTTTAAAATTTCTCACTGACTGACACATCCATTTATTTACAGTTACAGACACAGGCTACAGATTTCACTTCCATCAGTGTGACAGGATAAAGGGAAATAGGAGCAGCGTGGAGGACAAGCAGCAGTTGGGTCTCCTCATTCCTCGCTTGGTCTCTCACTGCCAGCAACGGAAAATTTCCAAGTGGTCAGCCTAGGACACTCTACAGAATGTGGTCTTTTCCACTTTTTACTGCAATAAGGTTTTCACTTCAGTTCTAGGAAAGCAACTCTACGGAAGGTTTGTACACTTTAGCCTCTTTGCAAGAATAGCAGTGTTCACTGCTCTCCAGATGGAAGCATTACCCGCAAATAACTGCACTGACATTTTCTTCTTTGCCCTCTTACTCTCTTGCCACAACCACATTAATAAGTCAGTAAGAGCAGGAAATAGAGACCAAGTTGTTTCAGATGACTAATAGAGTTCAGATACCCCAATTAATTTGGTGTCCAACATAAGGCATCTTAAAAGAACCTCAATTTTTCAGCAAATAGTCATTTGGCATTATACAAAGATAAAATAACATTCAATAATCTCAAAGAAGATGCCAAGTACCAATTAAATCAAGCACGAACACCTTTGGGTTTCATTAGGACTTCTCACAGACTTGGAGATAAAGGAATTATATATTATTTCTAAAATATTCACTTATGCCTATCTAGAAATTATGCTTTTGTACCCTGCACATTTGAAAGTGCAGTCACTGCACTTTACTATGCTGAACTGAACTCCATAACGGCAAAGCATTTTTTAATAACGTGGTCTTTTTTTCCCCTATATTTCAAAGAAACAGAAGGATAATGTATTGTTTGTAACAGTACTGACAAAAAAACAGAGCTCTCTACTAATAGCAGCTTTTCCTTTGCATCATCCTTCATCAATTCCCTTTGATTTCATATCATTGTTTCACTTCCCCAAAATAAACATTTTGTCCCCTTCTTTTGTGATGAAACAGTTAAATATAGACAGGGAACTGGTAAGCATTATGGTAATGCTCTCTAAATATAATCCTCGGAAATGTATTATTTATTATCCTAACAGTTGTATTTTCATTGAATAAGTTCATTTTGGGTTAACCCTCTACAAACTTCTGCCTCAACAGAAAAAACAGGGCTGTTGGCAAAACTACTCTGGGACTTTTCAAATGCTCAGGTGTTACGGTGTAATCCACAGTCAATCTTACCTCTGGCATCTTTGCAACACCTACATTTTTGCCTAAAAGACACCTTACCTGTGAATGTTCCTTCCCTGCATATGTGCAGAACAGATGTGTGAACTTTGTGATTGTCTCAGTATCTTGGCATGTTTTCCACATAGTACATACATATTGGGTCTTAACCATGCTTTCTATATCTGTAGTCTAATATCTACATTCTGTATCTGTATTGGTATCTATATCTACCAATTCTTTGTAGTTCCTGCCATCTTTTGCTGTGTTCAAAATCAGCTCATTCAGTATCTTCATCACTGTAATTGTTGTGGCTCTACTACCAATTCCATACGTAACTGCCCTATACATACTGCCTCAAACAATTTTATGTTTATACTATGAAGACCAAGAAACAGGGAGAGCAGCACACTGAAATAATGCTCTGTTATTGTAATCTTGGGTCAATGTTTTTCTCTGTCAGAACTTCAGCAAGAGGAGACTATGAAAGCTGCGGTCACTCTAAAAAGCTGCTAATTTTAATAAGACCACCAGTTGCAAAATTTTAAGTGTGGCAGGGCTTACTCTGAGGGTCATCCTTTTAATTTGCTTTCCTGCAGAGTTCTAGCAGCTCCAGCTTACTTGCCTTATAAGCCAGGCAGTGAGACTGATGCTCTCTTGAACTGCCATTTCAGTTTATTGATAAACAGATCAAGCACAGAATGCTTTATTTTTCTAGCTTATTTTATTGTGGTGACTTTTCCTAATGTCAAATTAAAACTCCGCTCCCTCTATTTCCAAACTATCCACTAAGTTTAAAAAAAAAAAAACCACAACCACAATCATAGTTACCATAGAAACTATCTCTAAGATACAGAACAATTTCTTAAAAGTCTGCAGAGGAGTACTGAGTATCATCAGAGCCATGATACAATGGTTCAGAAGAAAATGAGGGACGGGCTGTGCTCCAGAGCCTGAATTTCTCAGAAGTTTCTCGCAGTGATGAAGAGTGTCTCTGCCAAAATAGGAATGACTATTTGCACAGTGAACTGACTTATCAGTGGGTCACACAAGTATCAGAAGTCCATCACAAAATAATAAAACAGAGTAATAAAACTTATCCCTTCGCTTCTTCAAGTTGTTACACTTGTTAAGAGTATGACTGGGGTGCTACATCAGTCCCAGGCAGTGGATAATATTCCCTGCATTTGTGTTCGTATCTGTGAAAGAATGACAGAATTCCTCTGGATGGAAATAATGTGTTATCTGGTCTTCTCATGATACTGACATCTTCCAGTCTTGCAATGCTATGAGGAAAACAAATCTCTTGTCATTTCAGCCCATAAATGGCTCCCTTTGGCATTAAAAACTCTGTAAAAAACATAATTACAATTGCAAAAAAACAGAGACAAAACCCAAGTAACAGATCCCACATGCAATCCCGACACATGACATCTCAGGAGTAAGTGCAGACACTTTTCTACTCAAAGATGCTGCCAAACGAAAAAAATGTCAATGCTATTTGTTCCTGCTACTAAAAAAAAATGTTTTCTGAACTGCATTTCAAAATCACTTTGTATTGAGAATGCTTGCTGGAACACAATTCAGAGCTGTTACAGGAGAATTTTGCTACCACCTTCTGGCTGACAGAAATACTTAGCACTTATTTAACCAGCGTACACTGAGATCGTTTGCCATTTTTTCAGTCTGCACTCTTCACACATTACTGCCCCATTTTCTTTAATATGGAAATAGGAAATACAAAAAAGTTACACCTTCATTTTGCAAACCTTTCTGATAAAAAGAAAAAAAACAAATTGCAAAGCCTAAATAATGAATTTGAAAGTTTTTAAGGATTTGAAAATCATTGTTTTGTAATTGAGAAGATTTAAATTTATCATAATCAAAATTAAACTTCTTGACATAAAACTAAGTGGGTTTTTCCCACTTCTTATCACTCCCAAAAAAGTGTTGTGGTTCAATCCAATTTATTTCATTTAGTTATCAATGAACAGAGAAATCCATTGTTTACATCACTGTAACAATAATTCACAAAAGGTGCACTCTTGTAAAGTCTTTCACACACTTTTCCCATTGCACATGTGATTTAGTCCCACTAACTTCACAGCACCAGAAACAAAGACAATCGGTATGCTGGATGGCTGCTTTTACTTGAATACAATTGCTTGCAGCAAATTGAATGAAAAAAAAGCATAACCAGATCACAGTCTTGTTAGCTGTGTTATGACCTTTTCTACCGTTGCCACAATGTATTCTTAAAACTTCTGGAGTTACGTAACAAAATCAGCACTTCCTTCTTTTGCTCTTAAGTAGCTATCCAGCCTTCACCTCAAGAAAAGCCTGAAGCTGTAAGATTAAAGGTTCAGAAACGTGATGATAAACAAAAAGAACTTTGTATTTAAACATTTTAAATACTCTTATTTTTAAAACAATGTCTGATGTTGAGAAGTGTCCAAGAGAGCACCTTGAATGAGTCTGGCAATACTGAGCAAGTGGGAGTAATCACATGAGCAAAGAGAACAGGAATAAAGGTCATCATTACTTTCCGTAACTAAGACCAGGTCACTTCATCTAATGTAAGTCCTTTCTGTTGCTGAAACAGCTGGTCAGAACACCCCCTCACCATGCACAAAATCAGATTTAGTTGTGTTAGTTCCCTCCAGGGTGAAAAGAGGAAAAAGGACAAGAAGCTGGAGATGGGGCAAATGGAAGCTTAAACATTCTGTGAAAATATCCACCAAATTAAAGTGCACGTTACTGCAGCGTAACGTTTAAGTATCCAATGTATATTTAGTTTTTGTTCTTCTCCCACTAGTATTTATGTAATCCATCAACTTTATTTTCAAATTGCTCTGGGTCACAGCATTAGTGCACTATATGTACCTATATGAACTACCTAAGTATTTTCTCTCATCTAGGGAGCTGAATTTTTTTAAATTTCATCATAGCATTTATGTTTCATTATTCACAGATTCTGTTGTATTTCACCCTTGTTTCAGATGCAGGAAGAATGAAAAAGATCATTATAATACATGCATCACTGCAAGTTATTACAAAGTACCACTCTACAGAAAGGCTGTACAGATTGCATCAAAGAGGTTTTACTCTCTGCAGCTAGGTCAAAGGCACAGAAAAATCTGAATGGGAAGGCACCAATGTATTATTCGGACTTAACCCGTATGCTATTGAACTCAATAACGAAATTTCCAGTCTCCTTAGCAGGACCTGAAAGCAGACTTCTGAAAACTGATTAAAAAATTATAACGTTTTCTAGGTTTCAAAGGCCCCTTGAGAATCCAGCCATAAGTGACTAAGCCTCTCAAAATGAAATGCAGGCACCTAGGTTACTTAGATGACACCTTTGAAAATTCCGCCTTAAATGAATTCTTATGATCACACGGCAAACCTATGCTAAAGCCAGATATCAAAAGCAGGTGGTGAGTCTTAATGAAGCATCTACTCAAATTCAGGCCATGTTTTGGCAGCAAGCACTCAGGTGGATTATTAGAAACGGGTGCTGTTTAATCTCTCTTACCTCCTGGGAGAAAACTGGCATTTAAAAAATGTTAGCAACAGCAATCACAGAAGGGGGAGAAAAGTATTCTCTCCTAAAAAGCCAGTTGTTCTGCTTCTCCACGAGATGTGATATTTTAAGATGTTCTGCCCGTCAAATCTGAGCATATTCAGTTGAACTGGACAGTTTCTTGCAAACTCTGCAGGCTTTTGACTCTCTTAGCTTTAGAGGGATTTACATTTGTATTTTAAACCTCTGCTAAGCCTCCTAAAGAAAGGATTTGTTTAATTATTTCATATTTTGATATTTCCAGATCTGAAACGGAGCTACCTGCCTTGACTGTCAATGAGTCCCCAGGATCCCTTCAAAATTCAAGGACTCTGTGTCTGTTCCAAGGAATTTGAAGGACCCCAGAATGTCCTTTGCCACTGATGAGAATCCAAAACATTCCACTGCAACAGGTGCTACCCACATAGCAGCCCTAGTCTGGAGCTAGAGTCCCGACAATCTTCTCCCCCGGCCCCCCCTCAGTTTTATTCAAATCTGGTTTAGTTTGGGGGTTTTTTTTGCAATCCTAGAATTGGCAGTTCTGCATGAACAATGTCCTGGTTTGCAGACAGTGGGATGAAAGGCTCCTCACCAAACCAACTGGCAAGCAAATCAGCAGATTCTGCATTTTGCAAAGTGAACTGAAACATGCAGTTTCTTTACAGATTTGGGTTTTACAGCGAAACCCTGCCATTTCAAATGCTTGGAAATGTGTGACTATCTCATGTGTAAATTCCATTAACCACGGGCGAGATGGGGTAACTTTTGACTGGCAGAAACTCAGGATGGCTTTTGGCAGAGGAAATCTCTGTACAGAATCTATCTCTGTGCAAAAAGGGGGATATAAACCCCTCTGTTATCAGCCAGAAAACACATCCAGCATGCCAGGACATACAGAAAGCATTCAGTGTCCAAGAGAAGGGTGCACTGACATTCTACCTAGCAGTGAGAGCCAACAGAGGGTAACGTTACTAAAACACATCAGATCTGATTATAAATTTTCAAGCTTAGAGCACAACAAATAGACACCATTTCTGCTTGCCTAAAGCTGTCTTTGCAAAGAATTGCCTTGCAATCTATCTTCTGACAGAATTCAACACCATGTTCTGCTCACTTCACCTACCTGTTTGGTCCAAAGCAGCAAATACAGTTCTTGGTAGAGGTTTCCTACTTGGTACAGAGTGCCTTGAACTGAAAACTTCCATAACAAGTCCTTAAGTACTGAACTATTGTTTTTAGGAACATAAATGTTAACAATAATACAATGTGTAGTATTTCATGGTAGACAGGTGTAAAGGATGAGAAAGCTTCACATGACAGTGGTCATCTCCAGGGGGTAATAAGAAAATATTTTTCACAGGTTCTCAACACCACAGGACAGGCAATAGCTCTGCACTCTACAAGGCAACACACATTCCTGGTTGTACTAGTTTAATCTGTCCAACTACCACTTTGGGCGAATGTGTTGCTGTGATGCTTCAATCTTCTGGTCCAGATTGTGGATAATGAATCTCAAATTAAAAAGGATTTTCTCTGAGAAAAAAGAGATTGAACTCCTTCACCACAAGAGAAACTCATTTTCACTGTCTGATCATCTAATTTGACCCCCTGAGTAACAAGACACAGGAATTTCCTGGAGTAATTCCTGCTTCAGTCATATAACTTGTGCTTGAAAGACACTGGTTTATATATACGTGTATGTATATGTATATGTGTATATATATACACATAAAACCAATAGATACCATACAAAACCAATCATCCTTTTAAAGCTTCCAGCAATGAAATAATAATAATAATCCCATCACTCATCACTACTCTTAAGAATGTGCATCTGATTTCTGGATTACAGATGTGTAGCTTCCCTTTCCAGCCACTGATTTGTCCTATCCCTGTCAACCTCAGTGACCCTTTATCAAAACCGGCAGTTTTCCATGGAATTATACAAACTATGACCAAGTCTTAACTTTCTCTAGAATCACTTCAAAATTCCCCTTAATGAGAACATTTCTGACATTTTGTAATCATCTATGATCAGAAAAAAAAAAACCTGTGTTCTTACCAACAGTATGACTGGCACTGACATATTGTTTCCCATCAACTTTTTAAGTCTATCCAATTGCATACATACACACAAGTCCAGAGCAGCAGCACATTCTCCTGTGTATGTCTGTTCATTGTAGAACACTGCTTCCATACTTTATTAAGTGTAGATTTTCTGATGTGAGAAAAATAGAGCATGTGTAAATAAAATAAAGTTATATGAACACATATCTCTGACTATTTCTCAGATAAGGTGTCTCAAGATCCCGTTGTTAAAGACATCGTAAAAGTTTGTCTAATACTCTGGAAGATTTTGCAACTGTAAGTAAAGGACTAAACTCATTGAAAATTATATAAGTACTCTTCATGTTTTAAGTTCTAGGGACCCCAAATCCAGCGATCAACCATTAGACAGCATTCCTTGTCATTCTGAATCTCGGTTAAAAACAGAGGTTTCTACCCAAAATATACAGGAATAAATGACAAATCTATGATGCACACAAGAACATGATTACCTAAATCTTTGAACAAGTTACTCCCTGTATTTCCAAACCTGGGTTGACAATCTTTTACACCTTCCAAGGACAGAAACTGCTTTTTTTAAGCCATGTGGACTTCTGTGAGATGACTATTGTGTACTTTGAATCTGTAGTGTTTTGTGTGGGCAGAATATTCACTATTTCAAAAGACTCACTTAATTACAAACCACTATTTGCTTGTACACTATTCTGTGAAACAAAAATCTCATACTGTTTAACATCACCTACAAAGAAGACGGATACAGCTCAGTAACCCTTCAGAGAACCAATTGTATGTGTGCATGTGTGTTAAAGGTAACAACAAACTGAGTTTTCAGATTAGTTTTTCATTTTCTTTAATGTGATACATTACAGAATTTTGAACTATGAAGCAAATACATTCTTGATGGATTTGTTTCTGAAAGATCTAAAGGCATGTCTCCCTATCAGTGAGATAGTAATTAGTCATGGAATAGCACCACCTGATACTTTTTGTGAACTATATGGATTTTAAATTTTATTTTTCTCCCCACAAGTTTCCTCTGTGAGTGTTTGAACCAAACTCTATTACTAAGGTCATAGGAATGCTACTGTTTAACCCAGTAAATATCATGCTGGTAAAGTAACGCTTTTTGTATTTTTATACAAATATTCTCAGAACAGAAATTGACGCTACCTCTGCAGAAGCGTAACTTATTTGCATTGCACAAAGCCAAAAATGTTGGCTCCTTCTAAAATGGAAGTATGCTCGCTCACTATGGATGAAATGCAACCACAGTCACAGAAATAGCACAAAACTTATTTTATGGATATAAATCAGACTTTTATTCTTATGTGCTACTTTCATTGACAGCGAATAATGTGAATTTCATGTTTTAAGAACAATTCTGGGCCCTACGATAACAATGCAAATACACCTACTTTAATGATGCACCGTTTCCATCAGTCCTCTTCTTATAAAATAAGGTATCCAACAAACAGAAACAACTTAAATGCTTCCTTTGTAAAAAGGGAAGCATAAAAGTTAGTTATATTCTTACTCCTCCCCTTTCTTTCCAAATTGTTACCACCACATGTATTTATACTTTAAATGCTCCTGGCAAACAGCAAAAGAATATTTTTTTTCTCCTTGAAACCTTATCCTCCCAGTCTCATGACAGGCCACAGTGGGAGCTCAGATCAGAAGCAAGCACTTGCTATTTGATGGCTCAAGCAAACGCGTATCTTTGTGCAAGATATACAGATAATGAAGCAATTGGAGTGCATCTCACAAACTTACAAGTTTCCAGAAGTTTAGGACTACATTAGCAGCAGTCTCCTGATTATCCTTTTTGCATCCTTAAACTCCCTTTAAAGAAGCACTCGTAGGGATCACTTCATCTGCTCATTCTATGCACATGTACTTCAGGATTTGTTGTATGCTGTATAAACACCTAGGCATTTCTATTTTAAAAACTGTGCAGTAGATGTTTAATTATAAGAAACCACTTTGTATTTGCCTGCAGAAATGTAACTAGCTATAATTATTAAATACAACCTATTACAATACATCAAAGAAGCTGGCACACTATAGAGGACACATAAATCAGTCAGCTGACAGGAGCATTCAGGGTAACTTGCAGGGAACTGCAAGAACATAATTAGAAAATTATCTTTTTCACAGTCATTTCTGGTGTTGGTATCTTTGTTTCTATGCAAACGAGACAATCCTTTAATACACACACAAAAGTACTTTTTAAAAATTGAACTCACATGTATCATAGGCATTTAGGAGGTAAGCACTCATCGTTTCCTAACCAGTCTCTTTATGTAGCCAAGTATTTTTTGAAGTGACTTAGACAACCTAACATTCTCAAAAGAAAAAAAGTTAAAAACTCGCCAGAGGCTGACCATCCCCTCCACCAGCCCAGCAACAGCACCGCTCACAAGCTGAGGTGCTCGCCGTCTCCTGGCGACTCCAGGCCGCGGAACAGCACCGCCGTTCAGCGGCAATCCCACACACAGCCCCGCTGCGGCCAGCCTCCCTCAGCACCCCCCGGGCCCAGCCGCCGGACGGGGCCGTGAGGAGACCGGCCCGGCGCGACGGGGACCCTGAGGACGGGGAGCACCGCGGGGGGGCCGGCGGCGACAACCCGCCTCCCTCATGTCTGCGGATGAAGGGCTTTCCAGCGATAGCTCAGCCCGGCGCCAGCCTTGCCGCGGGCGGCCCCGGGGACGGCAGCGCTCGCCCTCCCCGGCCCCCTCCCCCCTCACCCGCCTCGCCGCGCATGCGCGCCGCCACACACGCTTCCCGCCTCACCGCGCATGAGCGCCGCCACACACGCTCCCGCCTCACCGCGCATGCGCGCCGCCACACGCGCCCAAGCTCTCCCGCCTCGCCGTGCGCTCCCCTCTCACCTGCCTCACCGCGCATGCGCGCCGCGGCGGCGCCCCCGGCTCCTTCTTCCTCTTCCTCTTCCTCCTCTCGCTCTGGCAGCGGCTCCCGCGCCGGGCGGCGGCGCCTGCGCAGCCGTGGCTGCCCGCTCTCCCCTTCCCCCGAAGCTTCGTGAAGATTCCGGAAGGCTCCGGCCGGCTCTTTCCGCTGAGGGAGCCGACCCGCCTCCGCCCTCCCCGGCGCTGCCCGGTTTCCTGCCGCCCGCCGCTCCGCCGGGCTGCGCTCGCTTCTGCCGAGCGGCGGGGCCGCCCCGCCGCCATGTCCTTGCTGTGCTACAACCGGGGCTGCGGCCAGCGCTTCGACCCCGAAACCAATACGGAGGGTGGGTGAGAGCGGCGGGGAAGGGCGGCGGAGGGGGAAGCGGGGGGTGCCTCCCTCACTGCCCCCCCCCCCCCCCTCAGCTTTCGGTTTGGGGGGTGTGAGGGAGGGCGTCCCGGGGGGGATACGAGGGGTCTGCGGTCTGTGTCCGTGTGTCCGTCCCGCCTTCGCCTGCCCGCCGCTGCGGGGTGCCGGTCCGGGCTGGCTTCTCCCCGCGGAGACCCCTCGCGTTTTCACGCGGTGGTTTCTGTGCCTTGGGGGGGGTGGCCCTGTGTGGTAGAGCGGTGCTGCGGGTTGCAGCCGGACCGCGAAACCCGCCCGGGCTGGGGCTCGTCCCTTCGGTGCGGAACTGCGGGGCTGGCGGTGGGCCTGGCGCTGAGGGGGCGGAGGACGGCGGTGTGAGGGGAAGGCGGTGCGGGGCAGTTCTGTACGGTGCTGTCCTGCGTTCTAAAGGTGGGAACGGGAGGCCTTGGGCGACACACGTTTTTCCTTTGAGGGCCTCCGTGGGTGTTGCATACGTAGCAGTTATCAACTACTTTTTTTTTTTTTTTAATTGTAGTATGTGGACTTGCAGCAGGTAATTAAATTCATCTTATGATACGTGTATGTCTGCTTTGCCAAGTGCTGTAAGCTCTAGCAGCGCTCCCCCTGTGTATACCGGGAATCCAGCACCTAGCGAAACATCTTTAAAGCGCTGTCGCTTTAAGTTTCATAATTCCGTGGAGGCTGCAAAAGGGTGATCTGAGTTTGCAGTAGGCTTGTCCTCAACTGGTTTGTGAAGTAGCTCTGTTGGCTGAACTTCTAGAGTGGCCTCTCTGCACTAGCTTAATTTTTAGCAACCCACAAGATTAGAAGTATGTTCTAACATGTGCGTATTCTGTGATTAAGAACCATGGCATAAAGTGTGTTTATTTTTCCGAGCTAAATATTTCCAAAGAGAGGGGCAGCTTTTTGAGTAAGACTTGCTAATGTTAGTAACAACAAAAGCAGACACGGTTGTGGAATGCTTCCATTTAGTGATCTCTTCCACCACCATCCCCTGCACCCCTTTGCCCCCAAAGACAAAGCAGGCAGGGGTTTTCAGACTAAAAATTCATATTGGGGCTTCATGACCTCTACTTGTTACTAAAATAACAGTCTTTGCCATGTGTTCCTGTGTTTGTGATCAAGTTGTAGTAAGCTCGATCTGGTCCTATGCTAACTGTGGTGCTTGGATTGGGGAAAACAACTTCTTGAGATGAAGTTTGCTTCAGTAAGTGACTGGAATACTTACTGGAATTACTGTCTCCTAGACTAAGCAGTTCTAAAGGTAAACATAGTTATTCACAGACCACTTCAGAAAATCAAGTTTGACGTTTTCTGCGGAAGTAGAGTGATTATAACTTTTGGCATCCCTAAGCTTGCCAAAGGTCAATGGGATGATTACTACTTAGGCATCTAAATCCACATTTATCTGTGTATGGCTGTCAAGTTCAAATGTTTGTTTGTGTTTCAGAACTGTGTTTGGAGTTACCTCAAAAACATTGTGGGGAATAAAGCTAGAACATGTGTTAAACACACACCAAAATACTTATCCCTTTAAGAAGTTTTGCATTGACATAATCTAATAGTTAAGTTTAGGATAAATATATTATTAGGAAGTTTTCTCAAATGAAGATAGGTAGAAAATAAGGCCTTCTGGCCCCAAAACAGTTTTGGATCTTTCAGGTTTTTTTGTCTACATTCAGCCTGCGGTATAGATATTCCCATAGTGATGATTGATGTAAGAGGCCGTTAATCTTCTCTTCAGAATCTGATGGCTGAAATAATATATGTATGTATTTTCTGTAGAAACTCTCATTGTTTCCAAAAAATGAGCAAGTGGCAACTGGCTGGCATGGACTGTATGTCTCTTAAAGAGAGGCAGAAAAAACAGCCTGAGGGAAAGCATTAAAGGTATGTCTACACAGTTGTGACCAAGTGCACAGTTATGAATTCATCTGTGGCATGCCTGGCAAGGTACAAATTTCACATGCATTTGAGATATGTTAATTACTAGTTAATCCATACTGTTAAAGACTGGTGTGGCATCTGATGTAGAAGGTAGAATTTAACCTAAAGTGGTAGAAGGTTTTTAATTTTTTTAAACTTTTTTTTTAACCTGTCAATGACCATATGAACATTTCTAATCCATTTCAAGGCCTGGTCAAATTTTGTGACTAAAACAGTGGTATGAGGTAGTACATGCACACTTTGGCATAGGTTTGAAATCAGTGCTGCTTAAAGACAGTTGAAAAGATGGTGTGCAAAACCAGCCTGAAATTGTGTATGTTATATGTGTTTGTCTCGGTTTCTTCACTGGACTGCAATGTTTTTTTTCATTTAGGCTATAATTCAGATCTTTATTAATGTTGTTTAATTTGGTCCATTGCCAGAACAGAAGCACATACTCTTTTGTGTTTGTTTATACCCTTTTTCCTTAGATCAAACTTAGTGATGTTGCACTCGCAGGATAAATGTGATCACAGAGCTGATGAAAACTTACTTTATGTATTTCTGAGGTGACGTGAGTGAGAGATGTTGTTGCAAGAAATGATAGCTTAGATTTTTGGAGTCTGTCTGCCCAGAGTCAGGTTTTTTTTAACCTTGTCTGGTCCTCACAGTTCAAACTCTGTTCCTATAAAGTGCACCCCGTAATCCTCTGTCTTCCCCACCATTTTCTGTTTCTCAGGCTGAGCCTTTCTTTTCTCTGCTGTACCACGTTTGTCCTGTTTTCTATGGGTTTTTTCCAATGCTGTGAGAAATTCAGTGGAATTAGCTTCCTAGCTTCAGCAACCACTTGAAGGCATCACCTTCCTCAAGATGCTGAATGAACCTCATCAGGTTTAATGACCTTCCATTGCTTTGGGGCTGTAAAGCATAGCTTGCAAAGTATCGCAGTGTTTCTACAGGACAGCAGGTTGGTTTGCAAGTTGTATATAGACAAATTTCTCATTTCATCCTCAAGAATTCAAAGGATTTCATTGTAAATACCTCTAAGTTTGGGTGACCTGTACCATTTCCTACTTTGACATTTAACAGAAAGACTAATACAGTGCTTCAGTGAATAAGCAAGGATGTAGCAGTAAGGTAACAGCAAACAGCAGTGTGTGCATTATGAGAGTGGGATTGGTTTGGGTATGAAATAAGCATTAAAAAAAGCAAACCTGAAAATTTGTGGTACTTGCATCTCCAAAAATTACCTGAGGGAGAGAGAAAATGGCTTACTTTGAAAACCCTTGCGTTTTTCTTGGTTAAGGAAAGATATTAACAGCAGTAGAGAGAGAACTTGATTTTTTTTCAGAGAAAAATGTAGAATAGCAACCAAAGGCTGGAATCTGAACTTGGACAAATCAGAAATAGAACATGCTTTTAACTGCTCAGGTGACTATCAATGTATCCTAAATTCCCATTTTTCCCCACCTAGTTTGAGATGGGATACTTTTATGGATGTACACTTTACTCAGATAAGAGTTGACTCGGTGTGAGTGAAAACGAGTTGATGTCTTACTGTCCTCTGGTATGCAAAATAGTCAGACTGCTTAGTGGGCAAGTCCCACTGCCTCTGCTTGAGGCATTGCAGAGTTCCTTGCCTCAGCATCTTCTGTTGTGGAACATGCATGGCCCTCATGAGATGGCAGCAAAGTAGGCTGTCATTTGCTCCATGATATACCTCCTGCAGAGAGGGCTTCAGGGAGCAAGGAAAAAGGATTGGCCTTGGCCAAGTGGACAAATAGACACTTGTCTGTCTGACTTGTGAGCTGGAGGATAGCTGCCCCTGAGTTAATTGATCATAAGATGGTTTTAGTCTCTAAAAATGTTACCCTGATTAACAGCACCTCTCTCATTTAACCCACATGCTTGTGAGGGATTAGAAATATTCATTTAAGTCTTCTGATTCAGAAATAAGCTTTGCTGCAAACAGAGCTTAGTTTTACTACCATGATGCTTGTGATGACATAGTTTCATACTTTTGGAAGAGAATAACCTGTATTTTTATTTGATTTAGCAGTGAAGTCCTGGGTTCTTTATGTAAAATACCAACATTTTTAAATTTTCCTCTGAGGTTTACCAGCATTAACTTTTTATCCTGAACCTGCAGGAATTGGTAGAAGTTCATGAATATGCTTCTAAGTCCTGGTAAAGGACTGAATGTCCCAAAATATGTGCCTTTTGAGTTAAGGTGGGGACTGATGTCTTTCAGAGTGTATTAGTGCCTTAGACTTAGGCACTGAACATAAAATTAAAATTATACTAAGCAATATTTCTTAAAAATCTACATATTCATAAAAAATGAAAACAACAAAGTTTGGGTTTTTTTTTTTTTACCTATTTAATATCTGGAGGCAGATTACTAAAAGTTATTTATCACTTTTCTCTTTTGCTTCCTATCATGTGTATTGTGATATTTTTCACTTCTGTTTTTGGAGGCTTATTATAAAATTGTTACTGTCTGTGTCACTTAATTTTAGATGTTTCTAACAACAATAAAAATTTTGCTTTAAAGGCTAAAAGATAATTAGTGTTTCCCATTGCTTTTAGAGTCAGGTCATTAAAATATTATCCATGCAGTACATGTTAAAGAAAAGTTACATAATCAGAGCAATTATAACACACATGGGAAAAATACATATGTTAAGTAAAAAAGGAATAGTTGCTACATAAAAAGCTGTAATGTTGATAAACATCTATGAATGTAAACAGTTCTGTTAATGGATGTTGTGTTTCAGTGTAGTGTTTGTCCAGAACCTATTAATAATTAATAGTATTGACATGTCTAATTTTTGTATGTGGAAGACTAGCCTTTGGGTTCAAGTCCTTAAGTGACCTAGGATACTACAAAAATTGAAAAAAAGAACAAGCTAATTATCATGGATAAAATAATGAACTCAAGATTTGTGTTAAGAGAACTTTTTAACAGTGTTTCTAGATAGGTGGCCTTGATCAGATGCAAATAGGTGTATTTGATGCTGTAAACTAGTATTTTATGTCTGTCGGGTGGCCACAGGGCCACCTTTTTACTTCTGCTGAATTACCAGTAAGGACTGATTTTTTGATGAAAACAAGGGATGGTCCATAGAAAGTTTACTTGCGCCATAGGGAAGCAGAAGTTTCTCTTGGATGCCTGCTTTCTGGTTTGTGTTATATAATACAGAAGGAAAAAAAAATCTTGATTATTTATGTTTAATATATGCTCTCAGAAAGCTTGTTCTGTGGAGTCTGTATTTTCCTTCATAATTACGTGCACTCAGGGAAGTGGGACAGCTCATGGCATACATGAATTGAAAGTGTGAAATGGTTTTGTGATCAGATGAATAAAGATTCTTGGTATGCTTGAATAGTAATAATAGTGATTTTCTTCTAGATTCATGCACATATCATCCAGGTGTGCCAGTCTTTCATGATGCTCTCAAAGTAAGTATGCAACTATCCTTTTAAGTCTTATCTTTTTTTCCATACATGTAAAACAGTATGCATTTTTTCATTTTTAATTCCAGATCTTTCAGTGTTGCGGAAACTGGTATTCAGCCTATGGTGTTTGAGCAACACCATGAAATTAGAAAAGCACATGTACTCAAACCTGAAGAAGAAATTAAAAACTGTACTTCTATGGTATAAATGTTATACAAGTCTGTATGATACATGTTGCCTATTGATTGACTTTAGGTGTCGCAACAGTTTAATTAGGTCCTCTGAGTAGGTCTTTGGAAGCATTGAGAGGTGTTATACTCTTTCAGTTAATTAACCTGCTTGGACTTCAAACCAGCTGCTTGTGGTCTTACGTGGCTAGAGCGCTAAAGTGTATGTTACATTTGCCTACTGTAAAAAATAATTGTGTTCTGTTAATTGGCCAAATAAGAATGTTGGTTAGATTGGGACTGGTCACCCACGCCTCTGATGCAGCTGTCCAGGATTCTTGGCCTACATCTTCAATAGTGAATTAAATACACCTGTGGCTGGTCTCCAGTGTTTAGGCCAACTGCATAGCCCATATTTGTTATATTAAACTGTCTTCCTACTTCAGGATCTGCTGGATGCATCCAAACTGGCTACAGGGAATTATTTGAGACACAACTGCCAAAACAATACTGGAAATCATTCTAACCATTTAATTGTGTATGGTCAGAAATCTGGTGTCTAGAAATGGAGCCTGGCACTGTTTACTCTGTCAATACAGTTGTAGCCTAAGTGACCTTTCTTAGGACACCAAACTGCTATTTAACTGAGCTTTGGGGCAAGCATTTTTCCTTGGTATTTAGGAACTGCTTCTACTGGCAGTGCATCTCATCCCTGTCCCATAATGTGGTATCTTTTGGGCTCATGGAGGCTTGTACATATGTGCTGGGTAGCATGCTTTCTGTGAGCTACTGCTCATACTGTAGTACATGACTGGAATCGGCCACAGTGTGCCGCTAGCAAATTGGGACAGATGCTGTTAGGTCAAATATGATACAGTTACTTAGACTATGGCAGGTTGTTTTGTACAAAATTATGGTTGTACTCATAACACAGCACATAAAACTTCTACCTAATTATAGAGACAGAAATTATACGGTTACCTCAAAAGCTTGTGTTTACTCCCTTTCTCTTATATACACACAGTTTTTAAAACAAGTACTACTTTCCCCTCTCTCCTTATCCTATCTCTTAGCCTAATTAAAAAAAATCATCACAATTTTGTACGAGCAGTTTTCTTCCTGCTATGAATTCTAGATAATTTAAGTGGGCAGGGTGAACCTTTTGTCTCCTTGGCTGTGGAAATAGTTAATATTTTGAGGATACTTTAGAACCACCTACCTAAAATCCATTGTGTCACACCACTTAAGCTCTCAAAGCTGTCGTGCATTTATTAGTCAAAGCGTTGCCTTTAGTAAGGTTCTTCGACTTCCAAGATACATTATTCACAGTGGCAAGATAATTTTCTCTAAAATTGGATTTCTGGTTTATGTAATAAAAAGTGCTCTGGATTGATGTAGTTGGATAGATGGCTATGCAATGCAGATACTCGGCTTTGTGCTGGGAAATAAGCAGCTGAAAGACTTGACTAGTGCTCAAGGAAACAAAAAACCCTCATTGTTTTAGGAAGGGGGCCTGTATTTTCTGCCACGGGTGAGCCTAGTCTCAGGTATAGTATTTGTTTTGCTTACATGTTACTTTATGAGATAAAGTAATATTTCTGTTTTCTGTTGTACAAAGTTGGCACCTAACTTGTCATGGAAATATTGCCTCAAGTTTACTGAGCTTTCTGATTAAGGCAGCATGAGTGAACTAGAAATGGCAGCTGTAACAGGTTTCTCTGGCTTTTAAAAATCCAAGTGATGATAATATTGTCCAAAGAAGGGAAGAAAATAATCTCAGTCATGACGTGCCACATTTTGTAAAGGAATATAATTAGTCTTTTGCTTTTTATAAGCTGTTGCCAAGTAAGGTAGTCATGCTTGTTTTGTTTTTATTCCAAAATGTTTATAGGGTTGGTCATGTTGTAAGAGAAGAACAACAGACTTTTCTGACTTCTTAAGCATTGTGGTATGTACTCATGATTATTTACAGTTTTTACACTTGCCAAATGACAGTGATAAGAACATGTACCATTTAATATTTACATGTTTAAAATTGACGTACTTTTGTTACAACTGTCTTAAATCTTGCATGCACTATTTTTCTTGATAAAATTTTAAAGTTGGGTCCCATTTTCAAGCTTTAATGGTTATAATTAGTTCTATGAAAACCTATTTAGAAGCTTGTTAACAGTGAAGGAAGGTCAATATTTTTTGTTACTTTGCTTGTTTACAGGAAGTATGCATTTTTCTTTAATATATGTCCAAATGAAGGTATTTTCCACTGCAGTTGTAGGATTTCCTTTGCAGCCAATGTTTAGAGTGGGCTAAAGGAGAACATGGGGCTGAAGAAATAAATCTAGAAAACTTGTTGCAGTTCTTGATAATTTTTAATCGTAGACACTAACTACACTGCATATATATAAACATATGCTTTCTACAATAGGGCTGTACAAAGGGTCACCATAACAGTGAAAAACCTCCTGAGCCTGTTAAACCAGAAGTCAAGACTACCTCTGAACGAAAGGAGCTAGCTGAACTGAAACCCAAATTTCAAGAACACATAATTCAGGCACCAAAACCATTGGAAACAATTAAAAGGCCAAGGTACAGTATATGATACTAAGTTTTGCCAAATTTGTGATCAGTTGGCCAAGTTAAAGCTCGTTTGGTTATTCAGTGTTACAGATTTCATATAGTGTAAAAATTCCCAAATTAACTTTAAAAGATCTTGTGTTTGGTAGCAGTGATGATGTTATCGTAAGCTTCAAAATGAGATAAAAGAATTCTGGTTAGGACAAGGTAGTACTGGATTTCTCGACATTTAGCTTCACAGGAAACAAAAATTGCAGTCTCAAGCCTCATAGCTTAGAATGCCACTAGCAGTTGTGTTTAGTGTTTTAAACATTCATCAAAAATTATTTTAGAGTGTTTGTATTTAGATTCCTTGATATCTTTGATTGATTTTTATTGTTGTAGGGTACTTAGGATTTCCTCTTGAAAGCCAAGACTGCCTTCAATTTAGAAGAAATTTATCTAGTCTCTTTTTCCATAAACAGTAAGAATTGGCATTTACAAATCTGGTTTTGTTTGGTTGTTGTTGTAAGGGAAGTTGGAAAGGAAGAGACTTATAGCAAGATTAAAAGTTACTACTTTGTCATCTTTTGTAAACTATTTTTCATGAAGCTGACATGAATACCTGGACATTTTTTTAGCCCAGATGAGCCAATGACAAATTTGCAGCTGAAAGTGTCGGCTTCCTTGAAGCAAGCACTAGATAAACTGAAACTGTCATCAGAAAACGAAGAGAAAAAAGGTAAGGGTTATAGGGAGGTTAAGTAGGTATATGATGCTAATTGTCACACAAATAAATGAAATACTGTTGTTTCTGAAGTGATTATTTCATGTAATTATGTTCTTGTTGTTAATAATCTGGGAAATACCTTCCGGTCTAGGGAATGATAATCAAAATTTGAACAATGTGGAGCCTTGAGTGTTAGGAGCAATACCATTGCCATTAAAATTACTTGAACTGCCTGTTTCGTAAGATTTCCTGGTTAGAATGGACATGATGGGAATGTCCATTTCTGAATATATGACCAAAAGAGTTCCCAATAAATGAACTCTACTCCTATGTTATTGCAAACATGATGTCATCTAAAGCCTTTCGTAAACTGGTGAAATTCCTCTGAAGACTAGTTGGTGCTCCCTCGTCTGTTTTTCTGTTTTTTTTCTTCCCTCAGATTATTTGGAATTTGGTTCCAGAACTACACTGCTCCTTAAGAAACACTTTCTAATTTCAACCTACATTTGTGGCTATTTTATACACTTTTGTTCTTGTGCCAGAACTGTCATTTAGCTCTTCTTTCTACTTGGTATCCAAATTCTTTTCTTGTGTGTATTTATAGACAGCAGTTGGAGCTTTTACATTCTTAGTTTTACAAAACCAAACGAGTGATAGTTCTTTTCCCCTATGATTGTAATAATCTTCTTCATCAATTTTTTTTTGCCCCATTTAAAACAGTGTAAAGGTATAGAACCTAGAATCTGATGCATAGGTAATACAACTTTTGGAATGTTTGTGTAATTTCTGTTTCTTTGTACCTTTCTGGCAGACTTCAGTGCCAGGCAGAAAATAGACAGCTTGAGAGTTTGGGGTTTTTTCTAATCTACTCTTTAGCTTGTTTTAATTCTTAATAAAAGCAAAACATTTAGTACATTATACAATTCAGTAGCTATTTTCTATAATATGATTCTGTTTACAGAGGAAGACAGTGATGAAATCAAGATTGGGACAGCGTGTAAAAATGCAGGCTGTTCAAAAGTAAGTGGTTCAGTTCCACTCTTAAACGCAGCTGCTAAACTATAAAGTGCACAGTTTTGTTTTCCTTTCTTGGGTGTTTCTTTGTGTGCTACAAATTGATTTGGAAATGGCTCAAAGTCCACCAGGCTTAATGAATGCACATGTGATAACACACTTTAGTATGGACAAATGTGGGCTGTTTTGTACTGTGCATGCAGTAAGCCTAAGATTACTTTTTTTTAACCCTGGCCTAAACTTCTAAGTAGTAAGCTTGCCAAACCCATGATACTGACATGTTTCAACTTAAAATGTTAAATATAATGTTGCCGAGAGGTGGCTTAACTGATAACACTTGAATTGCTCTTGATAACCCATCTATAGGTCAGAAGCATCTACAGATCTTACAATTTAATGCTTCCTGCCAGAAGAATCCACAAAGAAAATGTTTTAACACTTCTAGCTTCAAAAGTAATCTTTACGTTACATAGTCATTTAAACTGAAAGTTTTTTACACTGACACCCTTGTGTTGTCCAGAATGAGACAGTAGAATTTAAATAAGTATTTCACTGGACATCTGACACATTTTGCATTTTCTACTGAAACTCTAGAGCAAGTAGAACTTGAGCAGTCTTTTGTTTGTGTTAGGAAGAGCTGATCTGATATTCAGTGGCAGAATTGTATATTGTTTAATTTATTTCCTTTTGAGAATCCATGTGTTTTATGAATGATAAATTTAATTTTAATTTATTTTCAAGTTAAGTACTTGTTTTCTCTGAATATTCAGAGTATTTTTAAAGATGGATGTCTCTGAATATCTGAAGTGACCTTTATGAGCATAGGTGATGTCACCATTGATGTACCCCATTGAACTGATACAAAGTATAGCTTGTTAGAAGGAGTGCCAGGGAACCATCTGTGAATGAAGGCTGAATGGTTACTTTGAAAAGCTAGGGCAAGCCATTAGATCTAGATTATTTACTCAAAAGCTTTGTAGTGCTTTGTTCAACGTTTCTGTTGTGGGCTGGGTTTTGTTTTGTTTTTTCCTTTGGTCCACATCCTGCAATAGTAATACATTTTAAATGCTTTGTTTTACTAGACCTACGAAGGACCACACAGCACAGAAGAAGTATGTATATACCATTCTGGTGTACCTATATTCCATGAAGGGTTAGTATTCAGTTAACTTTAAATTTTTTTTAATTAGTCTATTATGTGTTCCTGCTGTCTTTGTAGATGTTACTGTGTTTTCGTTCTGTATTCAGTCAAAAATAGCAATGCTTGAAGAGGGTATACTAAATTAACAGTAATAGTGCATAAAGGAAAGATCTTAAGTATTCACAGTAAATAGGGTCCTAAATATTGTTTGTTAATTGCTTTGCAAACTTTCAAGGATGAAGTATTGGAGCTGTTGTAAAAGAAAAACATCTGACTTCAATACATTTTTAGCTCAAGAAGGCTGCACAACAGGAACACACGTATGGACTAAAAAGGATGCGGTAAGTGGCATTAACATTGCGTTCTGTAGCTGGCCATTCTGAATTTTGAATAGTGAAATGTAGTTAGTAGCTTGTTTGAGTTATTACTGTAGTTGAGCTGTTACAGATCATTACCGCTGAAATAATATGGAGGATATTATGCACGGTATACACAGAGAAATGGAGTTTGAAGTAATCTGTGGTAGAAGTATACTTGTAAGAGAGTACAACCTTTCTTTTTAGTGATACGTATAGTATCACTATAGCAAGAGTGGTTTTGGCAAATTAAGAAAAAAAAATAGCAGTCTTTTCTGCTTTGTTAGTTAAGAAAGTCTATAGTATTTCATATAGAATATATTCCATATGTAAGACTTTAAAATAAGATTATTAGAAGTCTTTCCTCTCCCAAAGACCATGAAGAGAGCAGCCATACCTGTTCTGTAGTAAAATAACTGTACTTCCAGTTTCATTCAGAATAGTTGAGTTGTTATTTAGGTGGGCATGGCAGGATGGATAAGGTTGATGAGGTTCCATGGGTGGGGGGCTGGGATGGAAGGGTCTCTTCCTGTCTAACTTGGATTCTGTTTACACATCTGAATATTTTTCTGGTCTGAATCTGATTGAGTGTTTTGGTTTGGCTACCAGTATAACAAATACAGAGAGAGCATCTGTTTAGTTTGTAGGTATTTCATTGCAATGTTGGGAACAAACTGCAGAATTACGAGGTGAAAAATACTCCCATTCAAGGTTTAGAAAGATTCTTAGAGAATGTTACAGAATGTAATAATGGAACTGAACACTTACTTCAAAAACATTAGCTGGTCACATGTTGGATGCAGGTGAACACGACATTCTTGTTATGAATATATTGTCTATTGCTGAGGCAAAATGAGTTTGACACTGCAAACATCAGTAACATTTAACAGAAGAAAATAAGGGTGTAGTATAGAAAGTGTAGTTCTGTTACCTCATTCTACAACAATTACTTCACACGTCTTTTACTTCCTTTAAGTCATGGAGTTGCTGCTTGTGTTGAAGATTTACATTTGTGTTTAAGAATTATTTTCAAATACAGAAAGGAGGGATTAAAAAAAAAAAAGCTGAAGTTGTGAGCCTAAAGCGGGAGAGTGTTCTTGTAAAGAATTCACCCAGATGTTAAGAAACTGTGTGTATATTAAATAGGTATATATTGAGATAATGGGCTTCTAGCTAACAGGGTTTTTTGACTTTACCTTTTTGTTGTTATTTTGGGTTTTTTTCACTGTTTTTTTTTCCTGCATCAGGGAACAGAGGGTAATATTCAATAATTTTTTGCAATAATATGTAAGTGTCTTGGAGTCATGGCTTCTTTTTCTTCAGTTTCTTTCTACAGCCTGCTGGACAACTGTAGTCTTGGAAAAGAAGTTAATCCAACATGTAACCTTTTTTTTTTTTTTTTTTGTTGGTTGATTGGGGTTGCTTTTTAGTTGTTTTTTTTTTTTTCTATCATGACGTCCTGGTTTCTTACTGTAGTCTCTGTCATAAGCATTTGTTTTCTTGCTTCTAATGTTTGTTGGGGACCAGTAGCTGAAATACTGAGTAAAAAAGAGATGTAGGTGGAGTCTTTCAGTCTCCTGTGAACATGAAATATAGTCCTTTATTAGCTATGCTTATTGGCTGTTAAAATAGCCCTTGGCTTTTATCCTGATTAGTCTTGCAAAAATACTCCTGAATGCGATTTTAAGTCTCTTTTTCTGTACCTTTTTCCTTATATAGGGTAAGAAAGTAGTCCCATGCAGGCATGATTGGCACCAGACTGGAGGAGAAGTGACTATTTCTGTGTATGCTAAAAACTCTGTTCCTGATCTGAGCTACGTAGAAGCAAATAGCACAATGGTGAGCATCTACCTTAAGATGTAATTTTTTTTTTTTAATTCTTACAGCAGCTTGAAGTTAGGAAAATCTGGCTTCTACTTTATTTACAAGGCAGGGGTAGCATAAGAATCTTTTTTGAGAAACAGCTTTTTCTTGGCATTTGTGTTTGTTCAAGTATGTATAGCTTCCCTACCCCACCCCCCTTCTGTTTGGACATCTGTACTTTAAAGTTGGGGGGGGTTTAAAAGCTGCAATATAATATGTCAAAAAAAAATCTTTAATTTGACTTCTGCAATTAAAAACCTGAGTGTGATGGATTTGCATCACCATGTGTGTAAATAATTACGGATTCATAATTTAATTGTGTTTGGCTTAATGTAGTTTAATATCATTCTTCACAGTATGCAGTTTCACAGCTATTAATATTAAACAAGTGTTAAAATGCTTCTCTGATTTCTTAATCATGCATTTAGAGAAAATGATGCAGCTTCCAGGATGTATATATGGCCACTATTGACTATGATACTGTATCAGAATCTGTTAGAATAGATTTTCAATTCTATGTCTGAGGGACAATTTGATCATTTTGCTCAGTGATCTGAGTCCTAATGTCAAGTACATTTAAGCAAAATATATCACTTGTCAAATGTTTTTATTAGCCTGACAAAATTTTCTGTTGTTTTTCCTGTTAAGTTAAATATCCATATTGTATTTGAAGGAGAAAAGGAATTTCATCGCAGTGTGAAATTATGGGGAGTAAGTATAAGAATTTTTCTATTAAAAAAAACCAAACACCAAACCCACAAACCCTCAGCTTCCTTTTTCAAAACAGTTTGTTTTTCTTCATTACTCTGCTTATTAAGAGAAATTCAGTTGCATATCATTCAATAATTACATTTAAATCTGATGTAATGCCCCAAGTGATCAGTTATGACATCATAGTTGACCCTACTGGAGTAGAAGGTGACCTTCTGGGTTCCTTTCTGATCTCAACACCATGATAGTGGTGTTGCAGAACAGCCTTGACACTATGTAGTTGCGTGCTTATGGATGTGTTAGACCCAATGTGTATGTTATATATGCATAGTCATATGTTCATAGCTTGGCAATGGGAGAGGGGTGACTTTTCTAGATAACGGGGAACTCCATCTACCTAAACATCTGCTGAAATTTAGTGATAAGGTACTCTTCCTAACTTAATTCCCAAATATCTTGCAGTCTGTTTCTTAAATTGAAGTGTGAAATATGTTTTCTGTTCTAGGTAATCGATGTAAAGAGGAGTTATGTGAACATGACAGCTACAAAGATAGAGCTTACTATGAGAAAAGCAGAGCCCCTATTATGGGCAAGTCTTGAATTACCAGTATCCAACACACAGCAAAAAAAAGAGAATTCAGATCAATAATGATTCCAAGAGATAAATTATCTCCCATTATGAAGTGGTGACTTGCTACTGTAATCAAATATTTAACTTTTATATAGATTCTTTTTTTATGCTAGATCATATGTTCCATTCTATAAAGAAATTTGACGCACAGTAAACGGGGGTGTAAACTTGAAGGGTAATAGCTATTTCTGCTCTTGCTCCCATGAGTATATTTATTCTAGTTGGAGTATCTCCATGGGGATTTAGAGTAAAAGAGCTATTGCCCTTTGCTTACAATCTTACCTGCCATGCACTGACTATCCAAATAGATGTCTTCTCAGTCCGCTGTGTGTGTTAATTTTTCAAGTGTTTGGTTTAGACTGGATCTACTGGGTAGCACGTGTTAGCACTGTTCATTATAAAGCATACAGTAATACAGGTACAAAAATCTGAGGTTACAAAGTGGTTAGCATGCAATTCTACATCAAAAATAAAAAGGTGCATAAACATAAATAGGAAAGAACACTTGTAGACTTGCATTTTTGTCTTCTGAAACTGAGGTTTGTTTCAATACCTGTTGGTTGCGAAGGGATGGAATAAACGGTATTTTCCTAAGGATTTCAGTACTTGCTGACTCTTTTGCTGTCTTTCATGTATAAAAGCAGGAGATCAGATTAAAATAAAAGCAAAGTTGGCAAGAGGGGATTTTTTTTTTAGTCATGTACCTTTTGGTATTTGAATTGTTAAATATAAAAGTGAATGGACTGTGAAACAGCTGAATAACTTAGCATACAAACAGCAGTCTATTGTAAAATTACCAAGGTGCTGTATATATTTGACAGTCTTTAGAATGTATATTCTGTCCTATTCTACAACATTCAAAATTATGAATCTTTTTTCAGAGTAGATGGATATGTGTAGTAGGAGAAGCCAGTACACACTGTAGGTGTCTCAGGAAAATTATTTCCGTGTAGATATGCATAGCTTTTGTTTCTGAGGGTGGTAATCTAAGAACTAAATTTATCTACAGGACAAATCTTAGAAGAAACAAACAACAACAAGCTTTAAAATGTCTGTCTCAAGTCATAATTGTACCTTTTGAATTAAAATATTTTAAAAATACTTCTTTTGAACAACATAAGCAAAACACTTTAATTAGAAATCAAGACCTTATTTTTGTTTTCAGTTCCCCATCAGCAAATATTTGTGGCTGAAAACAGGATAGTTTTAAAGACGAGACTTTTACCCAAGCAGCAATACATGCAGTAAAGTTGCTTTCTCTTTCTGCTTGAAATAGTTTCTTAATTTTGGGTTGTAGCTGAAAGAAAAACAATGTTTTTGTATACAAGTCATGTAAAAGGTACACCATTACTTATTGTGCCAAAACTTGTATATGTAAACAGGCAGTCCTGTGGACTGTTGAAATGTGTGGATGCTCATCTACCTACCTTGGCAGACCTGGAGTAATGCCAAGAAAACACAGAACGTAGTAAAGGCTTTCTGAAGTTAAATATGGATTTCTAAGAATCATACTTACTTTCCAACTGGTATAATTTGACTTGAGCTCAGAGTTCTGTCTCTAGCAGTACTTGAAATCCTACTTCATGCTTAAAGTTGTAGGAAATACATTACCAAAGAAACCATCCCTAAACAGCAAGAAAGTAACAGCAGTGCTGTATATATGAAACTTGTTTTGGTGCTTTTTTTACCTTCATTTCAAGATCCTGTTTCCTCATTGACTTGGAGGGAGTGTGGTTGCTTACTCCCTTGGGCCCCAATAAAAGTTCTAGCTCTAATTTCTGCTTAAAAGATTCTGTTAACCTCTAATAATGCTGCTGGGTTTTTGTGTTGGTTTGGTTTTTTGTTTGGGGTTTTTTTGTTGGGTTTTTTTTTTTTTTTTTTTTTTTTTTTTTTTTTAGAAATTTGAACATGCCAGGTTCTGTAAGGTTATAGGGTACAAAAATGTTTGCCTGCAAATGGTCCTTTAAAAGTTGAACAGATGTTCCCTGATGTGTACTGAACCAACAAGTGGAGCTCTTATTAGTATAATACTGAGAACAATCACTTCAATGAATGAAAAATTCTAGATAGCTATAGCTAGTAGCATGCCATATGTGTTTTTGTATGCAGAATTCTGAACTTGGACAGCAAAATGAGCAGTGTTTAAATCCCAGGACAGAGTTCTTATTTAACAAGCAAGTTCAAACATGTGTCTATCCATGTGGATACATATACCCTAAATATCTTGCGTCTTCCACATTTTTTTAACGTATTTTCAATTTATTTGCGTCCTTACATGCAGTAGGTTTACATCATGTAAAATCCGTTTTAAAGAACTACAGGGGAAGTGGAATTTTTTGGGAAAACAATTTCTGTTTTTAAGCAAGTCGTATTCTCCCTTAGTATACTAAATGCTACATGGAGAGAAATGTGGGTGAATGGCCCTTCTGCTGTTAATGCTTCAGACTGTGGGACCCCATAACTATTTCTTAGACTCTTTCAAACTACGTCCTGCTGGTAGCTGAGTCAACTTGGCCATGAGTAGAAGAAAGCTCCTGTGAACATGGTCCTCGGTTTTGCTTCTTTATATTCATTCTTCCTACTCTTTTCTTGTTGTTCATACTTTCAGCACAAAATTAAAGATAATTCAGGAGTGCCATAATGACTTTCCCCATCAGTGGCAATGAAACTGCTTTTAAAATTCACCTGTTTAAAAAAGCAAGCAAACAAACAAAACAAAAAAAAAACCAAACTGACCTGCTTTGATCAGGCAAGAAGGTATAGGTTTTACAAATAATAGCCTAGTTTTCTATGGCCTGTGATATTTTTCAATAAAAGGATAAACTTTCAGAGGCTGCTATAAGTCTCTTGTTTAACTGCATTAATTCTTAGCAGCTTTTGATAACTATATATCTGCATCATCAAGCTGCAAAAGCTGTATCACCTACAGGCTTCAACACACCAATGTTTGATCCTGGTATCTCATGAAATGACATCTTGACATAGGTAGTGGTACCTGACACTTCAATGGAATATTGGGTTGGTTGTAACTTTTATTAGTAGATGTGGAGAGAAGGTGAGACATACTGTAGTGTACCAAACCAATCAATACTTCCTCAAAAGCGAGATCTAAGTGATTTTTGATCGCATAGGCTTTCACCTGTCTCATAATAGTGAAACTAAATTGCAAACAAGTATGTACTGGAATACTTGCTGTCAAATTTACCCTTTTTTTCATGTTTTCAGAAGTTGTGCTGTATTTAACAAGTTGGTTAACTTGATACAGTCTAGCTATATTTTTATAATTGGTGAGTCTTTAAAAGCTGCAGTGTGTTTCAGTATGGGTTTACATGTTACACGTGTAGACAGCATATTACATGTCTCAGAACTGACTGTCCAGGTCCATATAAAACTTGTCCTTCACAATCCCTTTTTAATATGAAAAATTGCATGGTTATACAAGTTTGTGACAGAAATCTTAATCTTTTCCCTCACGTATAAGCCCATTTTCCTACCTAGCATTACGTACTATATCTGTAACAACATTTCTTGGAGGAGTTGGAATTTATTTTTAATGTTAATATACTGTTAAGCACTGGGCTGTTCAGCTGCTCTGACTCTTAACATTTTACATGGCACTGATGGAACTTGACAAAATATCTTCCATCGTATGATCTTCTGGAACATCTACGTTATCAAGTCACCATTTCAGTAGTTTAGGGATTAGTTTTACTAGGAATTTTGCCTCAAAAAAAAAAATCTACTTACTCTATATAATGATGCATTTTTTGCTTGCATTCTTTAAACATGGCATGAGTATTGGTTAAATACTGTACCTGTTAATCATTGGTCTTTCCCAATTGCTACTAAAATTTTTTTATCTCCGTTCAGGAACGAGATCCTTTTTAAAGTAATGAGTTATGTGTCTGGAACACTTTTTAAAGGTGGTAATAATTTTGCCATTATGAGTCTTGAATTACAGTTGAAGGGGGGAGATGTCTTCATGCATGGTTGCTTGATTCTGCACATTCATAAAACTTATATGCAGAAATTGATCTCATGTCTTCATGCTCTAGTTTTTTTCTAAATGTATTCAATAAAATTCTTATTACATGCTGGTTGCATTTGGGGTTTTTTTGACTTCTTTTGTTATGGGAGTGAACTTACCTTTGGATTTGCAACATGGTTGTTGAAATAAAATGTAAGTGGACATTTTACACATGTCAAGTTATATATGAGGGAAACTGTGTGGCAAAGTGGTTTTTTCCCCACCCCTTGGTTTCTTTTGGTGCCTGTTGCTTTCTAACACAACAGCCCAGTCAAGATACGTAAGCTTTGCAGCAATTTGAGTAAGTGTGGCTACTCAGATGGGAGCCTGTCTCATTCATGGAAATTGTTCTGTCCAAGAATTTTTAGCTTTCACAAACTTACTGGAACTGGAATAATTCAAAATACAATGTTTGGGCTGTTTCTAAGAATGCTAAAGATATAGCTCTGCTGCTTTTTACTAGTTTCTTGGTTTCTTGGAAAAAGGAAGAAGATACCTGTCAAAACTTCTGGCATTCTCAAAATGGGAGAGAAAAAGGATTCACTTCTTGGGGCCTGAAATTTTCTGCGGTAATAAAAATTTGGTGTTTTCTCAAAGTTTGGGTAAGTGTTTTAACCAAAGGTAACCCAAATACTGCCACGGACATTATAAACTAATCCACAGTTACTGTGCCAAATGATTGTTAGTAAAGCAAATTCAGTTTCTCCCAAGTTTGTCTGCAGAATGAAGGGTAGGTGTTAGGGAGATAGGGTGTTAGTGGTAAGGAGAGTGGGCGGGCACGGAGTACAGTCCTTAAGACTTCTCTGTAGGCAGCAAAGATTTCAACCGATGTTCATAAAGTCAATATTTTTCTGTTCCAACTTTTGAACATTTTGCTTCCTACCACAATGTTGGCATGAACGGGAATGAGCTACTGAACATGACTGCTGTCAGCTACGCGTCTGTAGTCAGTCCTATGAGCCTAGAAGGAAAGGGGCGTAGGAACAGGTACCTGTAATCTGGAGGTATGTGAAATGCATCAATGTGTTTTTCTTTAGCTTCATTAATCAACCTATATGATGACTGATTCTGGCTATCCAGAAAGTGTGCAGATTTGTTTGCAGCCAGTGCACTTCCGTGTGAGAAGGAAGCATCCTCTGGAATAAAACATTTTTGTTACCTACTAGAAACAAGTATTTGAAAAATTAGTTCCTGGTAAAGCATTAATAAAAGCTGCATTGCAACAAAAGTCATTCAAAGCTAGCTGGAGGCAGAGCTGTTACCTTACAACCATCTATGAATTATTTTTAGTCCAGAAACCTTGTTCTCTGAAATGTGTTTTAAATTTATGATACTGATACTGCCATATTAGTGCTGAATTCAATGCTTGGGAGGAAAACTAACCTAATGTGCTTCTAGCCTAATATGCTTGACCTAATTTGTTCTTCCTTTATTGAAAATCAGACTCATGTACAAGAGGCAGAGTTGATACTGTGCGCTTCTAGACCCCAAGGGACTTTTTTTTTTTTTAAAGGGATGCCTTGTAATTCAAGTTACATTGTTGTATACATAAACATTAACCCAAACTTCTAATGTCTGCCTTCATCTGCGAAAGCAGTTAACGTTTGAAGTGTCTACCCATGAACAAAACCTACAACAAAAGCATTCAGTTCAGAATT